GCGTTGCGCCGCAGCGGCGGCCAGGGTGGCAACTGGATTTCGGCATATTAGAGCAGCGGGGGAAGTGGCGACGCAGCGCTGCTGCAGGGGGAGATGGGCTCCCATGTGCCGCCCGGCAGTCGGTTGGGGTGGGGTTGTGGTGGTGGTGGCGGTGGTGGCGGTGGGGTCGAGCTACTTTGCGACGTGCATGACAAAATTATTGACAGCCACAATCAACATGCGAGGCATGCAGTTGTGTCCTTTCGCAGGGGCTCGTGCCCAGAAGATGCCGCGCGCGATGTTCCCGTGAATCCCGAGTCTACCCGTCTTCTGGTACTGTGTGTTCCTGATGCCAAGGTTATGTCGTTTGCTTTCGGTGCACCCCTGAACGTGGTTGCGGCAGCCGCAGTTCACGAGGGCCAACGAGGGGGAGTGGTGGGTGGGGGCAAGTCTGACCACCAGTTTGATTGTGGATGCTTGTTGGGTGCATCAGTGCTTCAGTGGCGCCCCGCGCAGTCTACAGCTGCAGACGGATTTTGCCGCCGCCTTTCCGCCAATCCACACTGTTTGGATCCTAGCAGAGCTGGCGCGCGTGGTCGTGCATTGTGCCGCATGCGCGCTCTATGCTGCTCTCTAAGCTGAGTGCTGTCTCTATCATCTTTGGCGGTGTGCGCGCGTGTGTGTGTGTGTGTGTGTGTGTGGGTGCTTGGTTTCTCCATCGACGCTGGCGGGCGGCAGAGGGGTCCAACCGGCGTGTGCCTGTTTGCCTTGGGCACGGGCCCATTATTAATGTGGTTGCTGAACAGGGGCGACCCGCGTGCGGACTTATTGCTCGCGTATTGCGACGACCTGACTTTGTTCGAACGCTGCCGATGGGCCGAAGTCGATCCTGGAGCTTCTTATTTCCCTGGAGGCTCCTGTTGGGCTTTTTAAGAAGCTGAGCGCGGACAAGTGCGTGCTGCTGAGCGTCGGCGGCGCTCCTTTGGATTTGACCAAGGCGCTGGTGGAGTCCCTGGGGCCGAGGTTCAGCCAGCTCAGTGCAGGCTGGCGCCCTTCCCAGACCCCCGACGTCATGATTTTTTCATGACGTCGACCCCCAGAGGTTTGGACCCATTCCCCAGGACCGGTTTTTCATCCTGAATCGTTTTTTGACGGCCCCGAGGCCCGGTAGGGGCCCCCAAAGGCCACAAGTATGGAAAAACCTCCCGTCGTGATTGTTTCATGACTCGAGGGGGTCTGGGTTCTCTGCGCGGGTCTTTTTTCGACGCGACCCCGCCGCGACCCGGCGAAGGGGCGACCGCGCGACCCCGGGGCGGCCATCGACCTGCCCCGGCGGCTCCGGGCGCGCACTCCGCGGCCCCGGCCGCGCCCCTCCCGCGCCGGGGATCTCCAGGCGCGGGGGGGCCAATCGGCTCTGGCCCAGGGCCCGTCGGCGCGGCCCGGGTGCGCCCCGGGGCCGGGCGCGCCCAGACCCCCTCGAGTCATGAAAAAATCACGACGGGAGGTTTTTCTATATTTTCGGCCTCCGGGGGCCCCTACCGGGCCTCGGGACCGTCAAAAAACGACTCAGGAGGAAACGCCGGTCCTGGGGAATGGGTCCAAACCTCTGGGGGTCGACGTCATGAAAAAATCATGACGTCGGGGGTCTGGGGTGTGTGTGTGTGTGTGTGTGTGTGTGTGTGTGTGTGTGTGCGACCCCCTGCCCGCGAGGCTCCGACCGAGGAGGCCGTCGGGCCGAGCCGGCCGGGCCCGCTGCTTGCCGGCCCGCGCGGCCCCTGCAGCGCTCCGGGCCGCCCTCGCCGGGCGCGACTGGGCCTGTGCGAGCGGCCCAAACTTGGTCGGCGAACCGCATCTCGATTCTGACCGCTGCGCGACGGAACAGTTCGGCAGTTTCTTGCTGAGCGCCCCAGCCGCTCGGGCAGCTCCCGCCGCGCGCGCGGCGCCGGCTGAGGAGCCCAGCGAGGCCCCACCCGCTAACTGTCTCGCCCCAGCCGCCCCCGGCCGCGCCGCTCTGGCAGGCGGAGGGCTGGCGGGCGCGCGGGGCGCCCCGTTGCCGCCCCGATTGCCCGCCTGGTGGAAGGGCGCCCTCTGAGGTGCGCGGTGGGGAGCCGCTCGTCTCTGACGGTGTGTGATCGCGCCCGCCGTTCTGGGCGCCATGCTGCGACCCTGCGCCCTGCGGCGCCCTCTCGGCTCGTCGGCTGCCTGGGCGTCGCCTCCCGCGCCGCTCGTCCAACTGGTGCCCGCGGTGCTTCCATCTGCTCCCTCCGCCGCGCTTCGGCTTGTCCTCGGCTGCTTTCGTGGCGCCTCTTTCGGCTGGGGTCTCCCCTCCCCGCTGTGCCTCGCTGCAGTGCGGCTCGGTCCGGCAGTCCGCCTGGTCCCGGTTTTTCTGGCGGTCCCGGGTCGCGCTGCTGCCTTCGTTGTCGCTGCCCCGCCTTAGTTGCATCTCGTATTGGCTTCCAGCCTCACGGCGTGCTTTCTTGTTGACCTCGGGCTTTCCTGCGCCCGCTGCGCTCTCGCTGCCCACGCCGAGGTAATTCTGCTGCGATTATGCGTATGGCGTGGGCGATCCTACAGGATCCCTGCCCTTCTTTTGAGGGGCCAGCCGGCCGCGCGCTCTTATCTTTTGGGGACTTTCTCTTCGTCGCTGCGCGCGAGGCCACGACCGCCACAATGTGTTTGTTGATTGGTACTGCTGCGCCACTTCGTCTTTTCCTTGTCTTTTCCTGGTCTTCCCACCTCTTTCGCCCGTCTGTCCCCTCTCACGGCTGCCCCGCCGTGGGTGTCACTGTCGATCCCTAATGGGTGGATCCAGTGTCTCCTCGCTGCGTGAGCTGGGCTTGGGCGCACGTCTGTTCGACCTTGTCAATGCCGCGACGCCAAAAATGTGTGCGTGTTTTTGTCCCTCATATCAGCGTGTTTCATTGCGCTTCATTTTCCAACGCCGCTCAGGCGATTCAGTGGCCTGCATGTTTTGTTTGGACTTAAGATTTTTCTAACGCGCCCATCGCTTGCATGTTGCAGTGTGCGACGCTTTGTACGCTGCGCTTTCGACGCTGCTCGGTCGCAATTAGCAGTTCCATCTGCTGCTCGCGTTTGACGATCCTTTGCGCCGCCGACCTGAAAGTATGCGGGTTTCGCTGGGTGGACCACCGCTGGGTCGCCGCGCTTGCCCTTGCCGGCTAGCAGACACTTGTGTGTATGTTCATTCGAAGACTCACGTATACCCTACCAAACAATACAACACTTGGTATTCTACCACGCTTCAGCGTACCAGAGGGCACGATGGCGGGTACATTCCCGCTCATGTCGTCCAGCCTCTCTGCGTCATTCCTGTCCGTGAGCAGGTCGGGTGGTGGGGTACAATCATCGCGTCCGTTGTTTGTGTCGGGTTTTCGGCTCAAGAATGCGATCTGTTCAAGCCGAACCAAAGTGTGTCTGCGGGAATCTGCAGCTTGTCACTCATGATGTATCCAAGCCCGCTGTTTTTAAGTATTTTTATTTTCTTCGCATGGGTTGCACGTGGCGGCAGCTCGAGTCAAACTTGTTCCTGCGGCTCTTCCATTTCGGATGTGTCAGATAGTATTTTCCAAACACGTAGTGTTGTCACAGACCAGGCAATGGGTGCGAGGTGTGCTGTCGCCGCAGATTTAAATGGCGATGGCGACATGGACCTGGTTTTGGCGTCGGCCGTTGACAACACGGTTTCTTGGTTCCAGAATGACGGAACCGGACAATTCGGCCAGCCACAACAGGTCACATTCAAAAGCAATGGTGCCCGCATCGTAACTACTGGTGACATTGATGCAGATGGACATATCGACATCGTCGTGGCTAGTTACTATGACCACACGGTGGGTTGGTTCAAGAACGATGGAAGCGGGACGTTTAGCGACATTAATAGGCAGTGGCCTTCGGCCCATCCTGCAACCGTGCTTGGGTCGGGGACCCAAGGCCTCTGATATATATATATATATATATATATATGCTTTTGTGGCGCTCTTGTGGGCTGCGTGGGCCTTCCGTGGGAGCCTCTGGAAGGCTCCTCCAGGGGGCCTCGTGGGGCCGCCTTGGGGCCCTCTTTGGGTCGTCCAAAGGCCGTTTTGGGTCCCCTTCGAGGCCACGGCGCGTTCTTTGGGCACTCATTGTGATGGTTCTGGCGGTCTCTTGGGCTCTTCGTGGGAGCCTCAGATGCAGTCTCCGGGCGACCCCGGGGGGAACCAGGACGAAACACGCCCCTGGGTCCCGGGGAAAGGGTTGCGCGACGCACCTCAGGAGCGTCCATGAGCGCGCGAGACAGCCCGTCAGTTGGGGGGCTTGGGCCCTTCAAGGGTATCCACTTGCGCTGCCGCGCGAATGCGCCACCGCGCTCGGGCGGACGCCTGGGGCAGAGGGGGAGGGTCTGGAGTGGGGCGGGGCGGCGCCCAGGGGTGTGCATGCCACGCGGCCGCCTTTCCCGAACTTTTGAGATTGGACTTTTGTTTGGTCTGGAAGGCATGGGCTGGGATCAGCAAGTGAGCCCACGTTGGGCTCCATGCGTCGGGGGGCCTAGTCGGTCTTACACAACAGGTGAAATCAGCATAGCGCAAATGCCTGACACACGCCAACCGCCGCAAGCGCTTGCGGATATTCCGTATTCAATATTTTTGACGATTTGCATAACCCCAGGAGCCCAGTCATACGATTGCCAGGCAAGTTGCCTTGTCCATGGAAGGCTAGGACGAGGATTAGGGTAAGTGTGAGGATGACGGTAAGGTTGATATGGAAGTGGAAGAGGAGGAGGAGAAGGAGGAGGAGGAGGAAAAGGAGGAGGATGATGAGGGGGAGGAGGAGGATGTGGTATTGCAGGGTCTTAACAGTAGGTCTTTGCCAGGGGGTGCGGCGGCGAGGCCAAGGAGAGGCCATGGAGAGGGATTCTTGAAGCAACTGGAAGAGGGAACGCGTCAGAACATCTTGTCCCACTGGTGACCCATGGGCTTAAGCACTCTGAACTCAGTGCCTGTGGCACCGTGGCGGATCATTAGCAGCACTGCTCTGAATGCTCAAGGTGTCATTGTCGCAGACATTGACAGCGATGGTGACATTGACGTGGTTTCCGCTTCTTCGGGCGACAGCACGATCGCTTGGTACGAGAATCTCGGTCAAGGGCGCTTCTGCGAGGTGAAGCACGTTGTGGATCATCCAGCTGCCTGCGGCAAATTCCGCCACCGTTTAAGTGTCGCGTTGGCATGCATGCAGGTTGGTTCTACCGATCTATCCCGAAGAGGCTCGGCATACTCATTATTGGGGCCGTTGTGGAAGCATTTGTGCGATGATGTAGCGTGGTTCAGCCGTTTCGCTGCACAGGTGCAGAGTTACCCGATTTGTTTAAGGCTTTTATGGGGCTCGATTAGGGCTTGCTGGGGGCTTTTTGGTGCCTTCTCGGGTACTTCTTGCGAGCGGCTGGAGAGCCTCTTGAGGTCGTGTCGGGGGTCCTGGGGCTGTCTCGGGCGCGATGGTTATACGCAGCTTTATTGACCAGGCTCGGTATTAACACCTTGGGGCCGCCTGGTCTGGACTCAGGGCCGTCTTGGAGCCCTCTCGGAACCGCCTTGGGTCTTCCAGGGGCCATCTTGCGGCCGTCTTCGGTGCTTCGTAGGTATCACTGGGGCCGTCTTGCGTCTCGCGGACACCTCATTGATCCCATTTGGGAAGCATCATAAGCGACCGCTCAAGGAAACGGGTGCATTCCTCTTTAGTTCGGATTCCCAGCGCTTTGTCGGACGGCTCTTTCCATGTACGCACGCCTCTTATGGACCTCTTGGAGTTTCTTGGCGTTTCTCGGAAGCATCTTAAGGCCTCTGGGGTGTCGCTGAGCCGTCTCGAGCTGGTCTTGCGGCGCCTTGCAGCCGCCTTTGGGCGGCTTTTGGCCGCTTTGGAGCGGCCTGGGCGCCGGGAGGCGCGCCGAGGGCACGGGCGTATAGTGGAGGGGCGATGCCATCACCCAGGGTCACGACGAGGGTCGAAAGCTGGGTGACGGCTGCTAAAACCGTGGCTGCTAAAACGTCCCTCCCGGAAGGAAAAAACAACTTCCCGGAATGCGGCGCGGCACGCGAAACAGTCAACGGGCTTCTGCCCAGAAGGATGAGGACAATTTCCCCGAGGTCGATTTTAGCAGCCACGGATTTAGCAGCCCTTGCCCGGCTTCCGAGAGGGGCTGGTTGCTCCTGTAGCGTTCCAGAAGTCCTGCCACGAACATCTGGCACGCCCTGAACGCCCCAGCGTGCCGAGGGCACGGGTGGCGGATGCCGCGGTAGGTGCCCGCACTGTTGTTGCTGGGGATTTTGATGGCGACGGGGACATCGATCTTGCGTCGGCGAGCAAAGATGACAACACACTCGCGTGGTACCCGAACTCGAATGGCCAAGGTGCTTTTATAGAGAAACGGGTCATAAATGATCAGGCGCTGGGTGCCTACAGCATCTTCCCAGCCGACGTGGATCAGGATGGTCGCACAGACTTGATTGCCGCTTCCAATGCGGACGACACTGTCGCGTTCTATCGCAACAGTGGCGATGGTTATTTCGAAAGGATCGTCATCGCCGACGACGCGGATTTTGTTCTCTCCGTTTTCGCGGCCGATCTTGACCACGATGGAGACACCGATGTAGCCTCCGCCAGCTACTTTGACGGCGAAATCAGGTGGTACGAGAACATGGGCAACTCCGTCGATTGGACCAAGCGCACGCTCTACCAGGGGTCGCAGGGCCATTACGTGTCAGGCGAGGACTTGGATGGCGACGGCGATGTAGACAGGGGGCCACACGCGAACCCTACCCCTACCCCCCACGATTTCTGAGGGGGAGGGTGGGGTTCACTTCGTTCGGGAGCTCCCGAGCGAAGTGAACCCCACCCTCCCCCTCAGAATTCTGGGGGGTAGGGGTAGGGTTCGCGTGTGGCCCCCTAGTAGACCTGATCGCGACCACAACTTCTGAGAACACCGTGGCCGTTTTCGTGGCTGTGACAAGCTGCAACGCTGCCTCACCCACTGCCGAGTGTTGCCGCGCTGGCCAGCAGTGGAATGGCACGGCTTGCGCTGCGTGCGAATCGGGCAGGTATGGAATCGGCGTCGGCGTCGACGCCGAGTGCGTAGCATGCCCAGCCAGCACCTGCAGGATAGCTGGCCTCACCAAGCTGCCGATGACGTGTACGGCGGATTGTGTGCATGACATCGAGGCGGATTACGCCGCTTGTGATTGCGCGCCAGACACTTTCAAAACAGAGAGCGACATCTGCGCCCCGTGCCCCGATGGTCAGGTGAAGCCCGCCGGCAGGACGCGAACTTCTGCAGATTACGCCGCAGACGCAAGTGTCACGTACCACTGGCAGGGTTTTAATATGTCCTTGTGCACAGTGGTCGCAGCCGAACCCGACGAGGGGGTGCTCCTCATCCTGATCTGTGTCTTCGGGTCGCTCTTCGTAGTGCTCACCCTCGCTTGGGTCTGCTTCGGCATGTACAAAGTGAGACAGAAGTGGATCCAGAAGTCAAGAGCAGAGCAGCGCTACCTGACTCTTACCCAGGAGCGCATTTCGAAATCCTGCGCGGCGACACGGACTTGCATGTTCAACGTCTGCTTCCTCAGGTACGCGACCTTCAAGCAGAGCGGCAAGCTCACCCCGCATGAGGTTCACAGGGAGCGAGGGCAGCTTTTCTCCTTCGACACCTACGAGGCTGTCTACTCCTGGGTGAGGATGCACGCTACCGTGTTCGTTTCGCACCAGTGGCTGGGCTTCACTGAGCCAGACCCAGATAATATCCATTTTCCAGCCATCTGCGCGGCCTGCGATACCATTTGCGCAAAAGCTGGGTTGGATGAAAGGGACCTCTACATGTGGGTTGATTACGTTTCTATTCCCCAGATTAACAATTACCTCAAGGCGCTTTCCATCAGTTCCCTCGCGGTCTACGCCTCCATCGCCAAGTATTTCGTCATCGTCGCACCACCGTGCTTGCATCATGACAAGCTAGTGGAGTGCAATTCGGCGACCTATCAGAGGCGTGGTTGGTGCCGCTTGGAGCAGTGGGCACGCATGACGGTCGGAGGACTCCGTGACATGTACATTTATGAGGGTGGCAATTTAGAGCAACTCCTGGACCGGCCTCATTGGTACGAAGCAAGCGTTAAGGTATTCGAAGGGGACTTCACAGTGGAAGCGGATAAATACAACATCGTCGACCCTGTCATGGGTTTGTGGTACATCGCTCTGCTGAATGCAGACAGGCAGAATATTGATAGTCTTTTGATAGATCTAGTGAATCAGAACAAGGAGAGCGTCTTCCCAGCTGCATACTTTGAGGACTACATCGGAAAGTTAGAGGCACTGGTTGAACAAGAGAAGGGTTCGTCACAGCCACGCGATCATTCAGTTCTCATACAGTCGGTCAGTAGTTCTGTTGCTCTGTGCGAGGTCGTTGGCGCCCGCGAAGACCACAGGTGCAGTAACCCCTCAAAGAGAATCATCAGCGACGACAGTCCCCGCCAGGTGGAGATCTGACCGCCCGCGAGAGCAGGTGCGTGCTGTGTGGGTTCCGGAAGAAAAGGCGGCATAAACATAAACTCTTGGAGGTTCGCGTGAATTTCTTGGATCGGCGCTGGACCCTTTGGCGGCGCCTCCAGCGCCCGCCTGCGCACACCTCGTGGCGAAGACTCTCTACCCGGGGGGACTCCTCCCGCGTTCTCCTTCCGCGGCCGCCCTCTTCTTTTCCACTTGTCTAGTGTACCCCTGCCCGGCGCGGCTCTCCGGTTGTTCGACCACGTCTGCGCTCGCCTTCGCCGTTTATCAAAGCATGCGTGTGTGTATACATTTATATCTATATCTATATCTATATCTATATATACACACCTATATATTTGTATATCTATATCTATATCTATATCTATATCTCTGTATACATATATATAGCTATATATATATATATATATATGTATATATAGGTATATCTTTATATTTATAGATATAAGTCTCCATATATATATATGTATATATATATATATATATCTATATCTATTTCTATAAATATCTCTCTCTATATATATATATATCTATATATCTCTATCTCTATCTCTATCTCTATCTCTATCCCTATCCCTATCTCCATCTCTATCTCTATCTCTATCTCTATCTCTATCTCTATCTCTATATATATTCATCTATATATATATATCTATGTATATGCTATATGTCTATGTCTATGTTTATGTCTCTATATATATATATATATATATCTATATCCAAATGTGTGTATATATATACATACATACATATATATATATATTCCTATTCCAATTTTTTACAAGCCTAGGGGGGGAAAAACCCTCCCCCCCCAAAAAACTGGACCCCCGGGGATCTGGGGTTCTCGGGCTTGCCTTGGGAACATTCGGCGGCGCGTTTCGAACGGGGGGTGGGCCCTCCCCCCCAACACTCGGCGCCGTCGATCAAAACCAGGGGGACTTCCCTCCCCCCCAAACCCCCCCCTCCCAAACCCCCCTCTTCCCAAGGAGGGGGCGGTTTGAACTCCTCCCCCCCTCGGCGCCGGCGCCGGCGGCCGCCAGCAGCGCCGACTGCAGGGACGCAGCGACGATGACCAGAGGCAGCCCAGGATGGGGGCGGGTTCAACCCCCCCCCCGGGCGCCGAGGGGGGGCGGGGGGAGGGTTCATACTTCCCCCCCCTCCCCCTTGGCGCCGGCGCCGGCACTGGCGGCGGCCAGCAGCGCCGGCGCTGGCGCCAGCGACGGCGGGGACGCAGCGACGATAACCACCACTACCACCACCACCTACCACCACCACCGCCTCAACCCACCACCACCACCACCACCACCACTACCCCACCACAACCACCACCACCACCACCACCACAGCCACCACCACCACCACTACCACCACCACCACAACCACCACCACCACAAAAACCCACCACCATTACCACCACCACCACCACAATCTACCACGCCACCACCACCGTCACAACCACCACGAGCAACAGCACAACCCACCACCACCACCACACACCTCCACACCACCACCACCAACGCCACCACCACCACCAGCACCACCTCCACAAACCACCACCACAATCCACCACCACCGCCACCACCACAAACAACCACCACGCCACCACCAAACTTCCACCACAACCACAACCCACCACCACAACACCACCACCACAAACCACCACCACACCACCACCACGCCACCACCACCACAACTCACCATCACCACCACCACAACAACCCACCACCACTACCACCACCACCACCACAAAAACCCACCACCACTACCACCACCACCACCACCACCACCACTCACCACCACCACCACCACCACCACCACCACCACCACCACCACCACCACCACCACCACCACCACCACCACCACCACCACCACCACCACCACCACGGCCCAAGAGGTCCCAATGTCCGCACCAACGCAGCCCAAGAGGCCTCCAAGAGGGCCCCAAAACGGCCCAGGACGGCTCCGAAACGGCGCCCGAGGCGTCCAAGACGGCCCAAGAGCGTTCCAAGACTGGCCCAGGAAAGGCACAGGAGGGGTAACCCGAACCGACAGTCCGAGCTTCCACCTCGAAAGGCTCCCTGGAGGGCCCAAGAGGCGGTGCGCTCCGCCAGTGCAACCAAACGCTCCCCAAGCTGGCTCCCCGTCGCCGATTCTCACCCCGCGACATCGGCCTCCCCGCGCCTCCCGACGACCTCTGGACACCGATCCCCGTTCGTGCGCCCCCCCCGCGCCCTCCACCCCCGCGACCCCCGGGAGGCGCTGCCGAGGGCTGGGGGGTCTCCCTCGTCCACGGACGGCGTGCCCCCCGCCCCCTTTGCCATGCAGGGGCACCGCGACAAGGCGCTACTCCGCGCCCTGCCTGTCCAGGCACGCCCAGGTGCCGCTAGGACGCCGACCCCGACGTCTTCGCTACCCACGGTCGCAGGCCACGGTCGCTTCTGCACCACCCCCCGCCCGTCCCCGCGCCCTCCCCCTCTCCCCCCGTTCCTTTGTCCTTCCTTGCTGCCCCGGTCTCGGCGCGTGTCGCCTCCTTGTCTTGCCCCTGTGGGCTGAGGGGCATTCGCGCTTGCTCCGCTCCGTTGCTCGGGCACCGTTCCCGACGGCGGTCGGCCCTGCCCGTCGCCGCGCTGGGCTTCATGGGCCAAGTACTGCCTTGCCTTGCCGAGCTCTGTTGCTCAGGTCCTCGCTGTCCGACTGCCTGCTACTGTCCCGCCTCCCTTGTTGCCTCGTCGCTTCCGTCTGGCCGTGCTGCGCGCCCGCTTCTCTGCCGCCCTGGCCTGCTTCACCCTCGCAGCCCATGCCTGGGTCTGCGCATGGCATGGTCGATCTTGTTTGGATCCCTGCCGCATCTTCTGAGGGATCGGCCGCGCGCGTTCTTTAGTTGCTCGCGTAACTATCTCCGCCTCGTCGCTGCGCGCGAGGCCGCGACCGCGACACGCATATTCCTTCTGCCTGTGAACTTACAGAAGAAACATCCGACATGTCGGGGGGGGGGGAGGTATACGCCTTCGGCCCGCTTTGATGGCCGAAGAGGCCCCCGAGAGAGCTCCACAATGCGTTCGGACGGCCCAGGGAAACCCTACGAGAGCGCCCCAGGGCTTGCATCGGGCTCCCCAGATGGCAAAAAGGCACTTCCCAGATGGCCTCAGAAAGGCCCCGAGACGTCCCCAGGACGGCCCGAGAGCTCTCCGAGACGGCCCAAGACGGTTTCCTCACGACCAGAGAGGCTTGAAAACTGCCCAAGAGGCCCCCCTGAGGGCCCCCAAGAGGCAACAATCATCACATTCCTGGCGGGATGGGTGCATGTTTAGCATATTTGCTTCTCTTGCTCTGACAGCGTCCAGGATGGCCCAAAAGGCCCCCGATATCGCCCCAAGACGGCCCAAGAGGCCCCCAAGAGAGCCCCAAGACGGCCCAAGAGGGCTCCGAGACGGCCCAACAGAGCCCCAAGACAGCCAAGAGGGGCCCCAGAGGTTCCCACAGTAGCCCCAAGGGAACTCCAAGTGGGCCATAGGAGGCCCCCTGGACGACCGAAGAGGGCCCCTAGAGGGCTCCAAGGCGGCCCCAGCTGCCCAGGACGGCCCAAGAGGGCCCCAGGACAGCCCAAGGGGTCCCACAGCCAGCCCAAAAGAGCCCCAGAAGGACCCCCAAGAAAGCCCAAGAGGCCCCCAGAGTTTCCAGAATGCTCCCAAGAGACTCCCAGGAAACTTCCCAAGGCTTCAAGAGACCACAGCCCTCATTGCAGACGATGCTGCCGGTCGCGCACAAGCCCCATTCCTGGATGGGATTGGCGCTCTCGCCCGAGCTCTGGCCCCCCCCTGTCTGGGAGTCATGCTGCCGTCTGCGCGCTGGCCAAACACTGCATGGAACGCGGATTCCGCAGCGCCAGCCGTACCCCTGATTGACTGTTGTGATGCCGCTCCGCTCGCACGGCTCCCACAGCCCTCATGGGAGAATGGTGCTCCGCCCGAGCGCCAGCCACATCAATTTCCAATATTCGTGCTACCGCCACAGCGCCGGCCGCATCCGTGCGTGAGACTGGTACTTTCGTCTGAGCTTCGGCTGTGTCCGTCTTCTGCGAGCGCCACCTCCGGCGCGAGACAACTGGCGACCGCAGCTGGTGTCTCTTCGTGCTGGGCGAGTGCCGAACCTGGCGTTCGGCTTGGACGGAGCGCGTCGGGTTTGTTGCCAATCGGGGCTGCGCCAGGTTAATTGGCCTCCCAAAGCGAAGCGTCAGGGAATGGGTCGTAGCAGCGCCGCGGCTACATCAATATGCTGACCGCAGAGTCAATCAAACATGCAGGTGTAAGGATCAATATTAGCAGGCGAAACGCAGCGAGCCTTGATATCTAGTGTATTTATGTGTGTGTATATATAAATATGAATAGATATCTCCCAGTTTGCGCGGCCAGGGGGTCTGGGGCTCGGGGCCCAGGGCCCGACAGTGCATGGTGGGACCGAGGGTCCAGGCCGGTACTCAAAGGCTTATTAAGGCGTCCCGAGAAGTGCCCCCGACGGCCCAAGGCTGCCCCGAGTCACCCGGCCCTTGACGAGGTGGCGAGCTGCGGCCCCGAGGCGCTCCACGAGAGCTTCCAGGCGACCCCAGAGGCTTTCAAGACGCTCCAAGAGGGCGTCACGAGGCCCCCCAGGAGGGGCCCAGGAGGGGCCCAGGAGGGGCCCAAGAGTCAGGAGGAAAGAAACACACAGACACAATTAATCTTCGATTCCCAGGAACATATGGGAAAATATGGGAAGTGGGGGGGAAGACAAAAACCTAGAAAATATGGGAAAATATGGGGAATCCTTTTATTTGTGTGTATTTATTCGTGTGTCCCAGTTCCGCTTCAAAGAGGTATTATTCATTGGTTGTCCTTAGGCTTTTACAGTTTTGAGCGTTTTCTCCCTGTTGGTTTCCAGGCGCTCCAAGACTATTTTGGAGCCTCCTAAAATCACCCCGAGACGCTCTAAGAGGCTCCCAAGTG